ATTAATCATTTGACAGCACTAATATATATATATATATATATATACACACACACACACACACACACACACATACATAACCTCCACAAATCCCCTCTCCAGAGGCATGGCCATCATTGTCTCTACCACAGCAATTTCTGATAGGGACAAATTATGACTCCACAGCCCACAAGGCTTCACTCGTTCATCTTGTGAGCTAAGGCCATCGATTTTGTGCTGTCCCCTCACAGATAAATCTGCAGCGGAGGATGAGGGTGACCAGACTGATAACACAGGGTGCCAAGCGAATCGGAAGCCCAGAGTACGTGAAATCATATAAAATGGCATATAGCGACGACGGGAAGGCCTGGAGCATGTTTAAAGTCAAGGACACGGATGAGGACATGGTAAGACGGGCACGACGTTCGTTCCAGATGAGATGAGAGTGCCCGAGGGGGATTTTTTAAAATTAAGAAACTGTCCGCTTAAGAAGTTCTCCTGCCAACTCGCCCCTCTTTCCAGTTTTTATTTTTATCAGTCAGACTCTGCTTGTTTTAGAAATCTGCGAGAAATCTTCCTGTAATGTGGATGCAAACTACTTTATTACTTATATGTAGCATTTATTATAATTTCTTGAAGTCTAGGGCAGCTAGTAAATGCTTTACAATAATGATAAATAAATGTACATAATGATTTGAGTTTAAATTAAAATGATAATATAATATTAAATAATTAAAATACGCTATTGTTCAAACTTTTGAGGTTGTTATGATTTTTTTCTGTTTTTAAAGAAAGAAGTCTCTCATGCTCACCAAGGCTGCATTTATTTTATTAAAAATATCAAGGAAAAACAGTAATATTTTGAAATATTATTACAATTTAAAATAATTGTTTTCTATTTGAATATATTTTACATTACAATTTATTCCTTGGATGAAATGCAGAATTTTCAGCATCATTTCTCCAGTCTTCAGTGTCACATGATCCTTCAGAAATCATTCTAATAGGCTGATCTGCTGCTCAAGAAACATTTCTTATTTCTTATCAGTGTTCAAAATTGTTACATTTTTTTGTGTAAACCATCAAATAATGAATAGAAAGTTACAAAGAGAGCATTCATTTAAAATGGAAATCTTTTGTAACATTTCAAATGTCTTTAATGTCACATTTGATCAATTTAATGCATCCTTGTTGAATAAAAGTATTTAAAAAAACTTAGTGGCTGAACGGTAGTGTACAGGTATATATTTTTAAACATTTTTGTAATAGCAAGTTTTATGTTATTTTACTGCAGATATTCACTGGAAATACTGATAATAATGCCCCCTCGGCCAACTCCTTCAGTCCACCAATCGAAGCGCAGTACGTCCGCATTTACCCACAAGTCTGTAGGAAGCACTGCACACTGCGAATGGAGCTCCTGGGCTGTGAGCTCACAGGTCTGTGTTTTGAAGCATGCAGTATTCATCTCCGACACAGTCCTGAGTTACAATTATGTTGACTCTTGCGATTGCATTTTTCAGGATGCTCAGAGCCCATGGGGATGAAGACCGGACACATCCAGGACTATCAGATCACCTCCTCCAGTGTGTTTCAGACCCTGAACATGGACATGTTCTCCTGGGAACCATCCAAGGCCAGACTGGACAAACAGGGCAAGGTCAACGCATGGACATCAGCCCATAATGACCAATCCCAATGGCTGCAGGTGAGACAGATATGAAAAGTGTAGTTCAAAGGTTTGTGGGTAAGTTTTTTTTAAAGATATTAATACTTTTATTCAGGAAGGATGGTAAAAAAGTGGCAGTATTTATGCTATCAGAAATTTATAATGTTATAAAAGATTTCTATTTCAAATAAATGCTGTTCTTTTGAACTTTCTATTCATCAAAAAATATGTCACGGTTTTCACAAAGATATTAAGCAGCATAAATGTTTTCAACATTGATAATAAAAAATGTTTCTTAAGCATCAAATCAGCCTATCAGAATGATTTCTGAAGGATCATGTGACACTGAAGACTTGAGTAAAGATGCTAAAAAAAATTCAGCTTCGCATCACAGGAATATATTACATTTTTAATTATATTCAATTAGAAAACAGTTATTTTAACTTATAATAATATTTCACAACAATACAATTTTTACTGTATTTTTCATAAAATAAACGCAGCCTTGGTGAGCAAAAGATACTTCTCCGTCATACCAACCCCAAACTTTTGAACAGTAATATATATATATATATATATATATATATATATATATATGTTGTCCATTGGCCGCTGATCTTTAGATATGGCCATCAGCCACTGAAAAATCCATATAGGTTAGCTACTAATCTTGGGGTTAGGGTTTTATCTGTATGTGTGCATGTATCTGTATGTTTGAGTTTGTGTGTAACACACATGGAGAATGTTGGGCCCCAGGCTGCTGTGGATCGCCTCTAGCTGAGCGTTATAGAGAAGGGCCTTTAGGTCAGCTCCAGTAAACAGCTCTGTTGCCACAGCAATCTGCTCCAAGTCCACATCTGCAGCCAGTGGCACAAAATGAGTCAAAGCCTTCAGGATCTCCAGCCGGGCCTCCTGAAGGACAGATATAAATCAGTAAATTGATACTGTAGGTGTTACAGGTATAAAGAGGTTAAAAGGATAGTTCACCCAAAAACGAAAATTACCCCATGATTTACTCACCTTCAAGCCATCCTAGGTGTATATGACATTCTTCTTTCAGACGAATACAATCGGAGTTATATTAAAAAACATCCTGGCTCTTCCAAGCTTTATAATGGGAGTGGATGGAAGCCCAAATTTTGAAGTCCAAAAAATTGAACCAATCCATTAAAAAAGAAGTCCACACGGCTCCGGGGGGGTTAATAAAGGCCTTCTGAAGTGACGCGATGCGTTTGTGTAAGAAAAATATCCATATTTACAACTTTATTAACCTTAATCTCTAGCTTCCGCTAACTGTCATACACACATTCACGAGAGAGTGGCGTCCAGCGGATAATGTAGGACGTAGGCAAACGCGGTGACGAACGCGGAAGTGACGAACGTGGAAGCGCAGAGGAGAGAGCAAAACAAAACACCGGTCACGAATTAGTAGTACAAAACGAGGATTTGTAAAGAAAAATGTCGGAGGATTTTGATATAAACCAAGAGGACACTGGTTTTCCTTTGCTGTAAACAAAACTTGTTTCTCGCAAGACTAGCATATTCTCACCGTGTTACATTTTTTTGTGTAAACCATCAAATAATGAATAGAAAGTTACAAAGAGAGCATTCATTTAAAATGGAAATCTTTTGTAACATTTCAAATGTCTTTAATGTCACATTTGATCAATTTAATGCATCCTTGTTGAATAAAAGTATTTAAAAAAACTTAGTGGCTGAACGGTAGTGTACAGGTATATATTTTTAAACATTTTTGTAATAGCAAGTTTTATGTTATTTTACTGCAGATATTCACTGGAAATACTGATAATAATGCCCCCTCGGCCAACTCCTTCAGTCCACCAATCGAAGCGCAGTACGTCCGCATTTACCCACAAGTCTGTAGGAAGCACTGCACACTGCGAATGGAGCTCCTGGGCTGTGAGCTCACAGGTCTGTGTTTTGAAGCATGCAGTATTCATCTCCGACACAGTCCTGAGTTACAATTATGTTGACTCTTGCGATTGCATTTTTCAGGATGCTCAGAGCCCATGGGGATGAAGACCGGACACATCCAGGACTATCAGATCACCTCCTCCAGTGTGTTTCAGACCCTGAACATGGACATGTTCTCCTGGGAACCATCCAAGGCCAGACTGGACAAACAGGGCAAGGTCAACGCATGGACATCAGCCCATAATGACCAATCCCAATGGCTGCAGGTGAGACAGATATGAAAAGTGTAGTTCAAAGGTTTGTGGGTAAGTTTTTTTTAAAGATATTAATACTTTTATTCAGGAAGGATGGTAAAAAAGTGGCAGTATTTATGCTATCAGAAATTTATAATGTTATAAAAGATTTCTATTTCAAATAAATGCTGTTCTTTTGAACTTTCTATTCATCAAAAAATATGTCACGGTTTTCACAAAGATATTAAGCAGCATAAATGTTTTCAACATTGATAATAAAAAATGTTTCTTAAGCATCAAATCAGCCTATCAGAATGATTTCTGAAGGATCATGTGACACTGAAGACTTGAGTAAAGATGCTAAAAAAAATTCAGCTTCGCATCACAGGAATATATTACATTTTTAATTATATTCAATTAGAAAACAGTTATTTTAACTTATAATAATATTTCACAACAATACAATTTTTACTGTATTTTTCATAAAATAAACGCAGCCTTGGTGAGCAAAAGATACTTCTCCGTCATACCAACCCCAAACTTTTGAACAGTAATATATATATATATATATATATATACATATATATACACACACACACACACACACACACACACACGCAAATTATATATTGTATCCCAGCCCGACCAACTAGCGCCTAAATCTCCTCTAAAACCAGGCCGCAGACCAGGCTGGGAGACCAGCAAACCAGCTCAGACTGGTTTTAGGTGTTTTTCAGCAATTTAAAAAATAATAATTTATTGATTGCGCTCCAAAAGACTAAATAGATCAGCAAGTTACAATATAAGGCTTTTCTCGCTGTGTTTAATTCTGGGTCATCATCACTTTTAACCCAGAGTTAAGAACACTATTAATCCTGATTTTTGAAGCTCTGCTCTAGAAATGCGATGCCAAAGGTGCTCGAATATTATGCCGAGTTATTTAGCAACAGACGACAAATCATGAACTAAACAATGCTTGCCTCATTAAATATTCACGACTTAGTACAGCTGTAGAAACTTTCCTGTTCAGTTTCAGCCTCTGAGTAAGTTACAAATGCCAAACAGTGATGGTGTTCAGAGTGATAAACAGACAGTATTATTGTTAAGACAACCAGAAAATATTTATGTGGTGATTTTGGGATTTCTAATTGGGCACCAAATAGGTTATACCATATCACAAAATTTATTTCAGCCAATGGGATCATTTAGGTCTCCAAGTGGGCTGAATTTGACACAGGGTGGGTGGTAGGATATGTCATATGGCATCATCCTTGCTCAGTATACGGTTTTCCATGCCACATAAATACATTCATCCTCATGCATTCAATACACTGCAGGATAATCTTTAATTTCTACATATACACCCACACAGGTGAGACTGAGGTTAGCTACTGTACCACCAACATCACTAATCGAACTAAACCGGTGGGCTGCTCATTGTTTGCCGTTATAACGGACTGTAAATCTGAGCTTGTTCTCAGACCCGAGAGCCGTGATGTCATTAAATGGCTGAGTCTGCTGCCATTGAACTGAGATCGGGAAATTGGATCCGAGAGAGCAGGCTAATGTATATATTATATTACACCTGCAAGCTTGCAGAGCCGAGCCCGGCTGCTCAAACGCTCCTCTGAGATTGCAGAGCTGCTGTGAATGCTGCTCACGTCGGTCCAGGTCAGAAAGCAGAACCCAAGTCCTTATGAAAGAATAATACAGCGAGAGAGAGACCAAACTGACTGCACATATGTGTCCCATTCAGAATATAGGAAACTAAATAAAAATATTCATAAAACAGCTGTAGATTTTAGTAATATGCCTAAATATTATTGTTTAATATGAATTATCTACGCTGTAAAAAGCGATTTATCAAAGTTGTAAGTAAAAACAAAGATTACTGGAGTAATTTTTACAAGAAAATACTATTTTAGTCTTCTACTTCAAAATTTCATATTTAATTCAATGTGTTATTTGCCATTTCTGTCTAATTAATTGTGGCATTTACTAACAATTCCTGAGTAAAACTGATTTCTACACCAATTATTTTTTTCAGTGCATAAATGTTATCAAATAAGGTATTTCCAGAAACATTAAATTATATAATATTTAAAATATTATTTCTAAATAATATTAATTATATAAGATATTTATTCAGACTAATATGTTTTTCCTAACTGAGCAGACATATTTCTGTAAACTAATTTCAATACTGTAAAAACAATTAACAATACAATTAATAATATTTTTAAATAAAATTATAAAATAATACAATTAAAAAAAAAAGTGATTTCTATGATAAAAATAATGTACAAATGTGCTTATTGCACATATAAGTACGTTTTAATTTTTTCATTATATTTAATACATTTTAATTCACTCAATTATGTATTAAATAATGAGAATTTTGATGTCATCATTTTTAGAGTTATGAAAACAATAGTGCTGTGTTAAAGAATTAAATTCTGCTTTGGTTGTGTTCATTATTTTTAGTACTCCATTAAAATAGATTTATTCAAATAATTAGAATTATTATAATTAGTCACATGATCAAGTAATTTGACTAATTATGCCTAAATAATTAAGCATACATAGTCTAAATTACTTTAATTTTTATTGTTTTAAATACATAAGTATTTACAGAAACACACCCTGTGGGTGTGGCCAATTCAATTCATGAAAAAAATGACAAATTCTGAATTTTGCCAACCCTAACCATGCAGAAATGCATATAGCGAATTTAGAGAAGCATACTGTAGTTTCAGGCCTTTAGGCATCATGTCATCTTATTTTCATGAGGCACGGCTTATTTTAATAAAAGCCAAGTTTTTGTTTTTGTCCAAGTTCAAGTTTTTGTTTTTGCTAAAACAGGACTGGCTGTTTTAGCAAAAACAAGAAGCTCCAGAGCAGTTAATTACAGCAGCCTTGAAATCCTGTAATACCACTAAAGTAATAGACTTACAAAATTCAGCGGCCTGAAGACGTTCCTGCGGTGCCAGTGGCGCTAATTAACTCCGGTCCTCCGAGGGGAACTCTGCAGTGCAGACGAGGGCTGTGATTTAGTCTGACGTCCATCACTCCGTGAAGGGCAGTGAATTCCAGCAATATTAAACAGATAACAGGTTGAGAGACAGTCCCACCAAAGCAGGTGTGAGATTTGTTTTACCTTCAGACACCTTTCTCGTCATTTGCAGAGGTATAACCTACTTTACAATGACACTTTTAGGCATGAGAGCTGTCTACACTGCAAGCGCCTGATGTTGGATGCCCCGTTTCTATTTTTGCACAGCTACTCCTGCAGTTTTACTTTTTCCTTTTTGTCATTTTATTTTATCGCTGCTGAAATCTATCTTTGAGCTCATGACACCATAACACCCTTTACAATGGAAGCCATAGGCGTAATTTGCGGGTGGGATTGGTGGGACATGTCCCCACCACTTTTCAAAGCAAAGTTACGCCACTGATGGATTGACGCCCATTTCCATCATGGGATACTTTTTTTTT